TCAGGTAAAGAAAAGATCCTCCCCCCCAGATATTAGAAGGGTGCTGCTACCAACTGAGCTGTAAAGCCACGGGTTGGGAACTAGGTCTGATTTTAGACGCTTCATTGTTTGGTAGCAACAATGAACAAGACTAGTCAGGCCTTAAGTAATGACAGTTTTGTAAATGCAGCTCCATCACAAGCCCCGAGAAACTTTGATGCGACAGCAGTTACTTCTACAATTATCACAGCATCCTGGCAGTTACCACCAGCAGACTCCAGAAATGGAGTAATTATAGGATTCAAATTGTTTTACCAAAAGAGAGGCTCTGCTGGACGAGCAACCACCCTGACCATTAACAATGGAACAGCATTAAGAAGAGATGTCGCTGGACTTAATATTTACACAGAATATGAATTTCAAGTGTTGGCCTTTACTTCAGTTGGTGATGGACCAAGGAGTTCTCCTGTAGTGGTGGTGAGAACCATGAAAGATGGTAAGAATTTTTAAACGATGTTTAAGTCTTTTTTTAACTGAGTCAGGTGCAACGACAGCGAAAAAGTTATAAGCCGATCTTCAAATGAAAAAGCATTGTCACAGAACTTTAAAGGTTTATTGTAAGATTTGAATTTGACCACTTTTACATTTGCAGTAACCAAGGTGGCCTTTTTTTGTGGTTCGTAGTATTTATGGTGTTGTAGTATACTTTTACTTGTATGGCCAACGAATTCGAAGCTGAAATGTTCTTAGGCATTGAGAAGTTAAAACACTGTGCTTTTATTCAAATGTTTATCATTTCATATATTTATAAGGCTATTTGCTATATTTTTGTGATTAAGTTGTTGATGTGGATATGCGGCTTGGCCAATTCGGACTCATTTCATTAACAAATCATCACCTTTCTTTCAAAAGTAAAAAGGTTAGTCAAATCAGTGATCGATATTGGGTGAGAATTCATCATTTTAGGACCTTGGTCGAGCATACATAATTGTACGTGAAAACGGTTCGGAAACATCTAGAGACGACTGCTACAACATCACAAATGCATGAATACTAAAGGTAGTCCATAATACCTCAAGATAACCTGTGCAAAAAATCTGCAGAACAAAAGAGGATAAATGCAACAAAATTGAATGGTTGAAAACCACTGAATTAGTAGAGCTGAAGAAAAATTGAAACCCAGCATTAAAGAGGAACCTTGGACTGCCAACAGATGTTTGCCACTAAAATGCTTGGCATTTCAAAGATACATTGTACCATTGATATTGCTTTTGACCCAACATTTGTAAGGAAGACTTTTGACTGGAAGAGTCAGCTAAATTGTGGTTATTCAATTTTTTTAAATGGTCATTCACCTAAATTTTTAAAGGGTTACAGAGACACAATTATTAAATGCTCATGTTGAGAGCTCTACCCTCTTTAATCCTTTCTAGTGTTCATTACTGATTATTTTCCCTATCATTTGTAATTCTTTAGATATTTTTTTCTTCTTTAAGGTTGTGTGGAGTTTAGTCTTGGGATGGAAAATGGAAGAATTCCAGACAGTGG